AAAAAACACAAGAGTTTATTCTAGAAGACAACTAATTTTTAGGCAATATTTCAGATGGTTGATCGCCGTCGTGAGTTGAATTCACGTTTAACCCAAATCGAAGATACTCCATCGGGCCAGTTAATTGAAAGTGATAATAATCTTGAAAGTACTTCGTCAACTTCATCTCAGTTGCAGTTGCCAGCGAATCCTGTGAAAGGAAAGGGTAACTTCCATGAAGAATTTGTGCACTTTAATGCAGTCGTCAAAAAAATAATCGCCCATGATCGCATTTAAAGATGAAAATCTCTATTTTAGTTGCTTATTGGGATCTATCACCTGTGCTTAAATTCGCTTTTTGACCAAGTTAACATCACATCTATTCACCCAGTTGATCGGGTCCTATTACTTTCGCTTCTGAATGCTTATTCTGACGGAATATTCCATTCGCCTCTCGCAAAGGTACTTTGAAAAGTTTCTTCCAGAAAGACGACCGAACTGTCAACGATGTGCTCAGCACTCCGTTCAAGCACGTTTAAAGGGTCATAAACGATGCTGTCCTTTCCGCGATTGCCCTTGTGCCAAGTGCCAGGTTGTTCAAGAACGACAAAAATTGATGGCTGATCAGGTAGTTTCAGAATCATCAAATTTGAGCCACTGCTAACGTGATCCTATGATTAATATCAGTGATTGGTTGTGGTCAGTGCTTTAGAACAATTCATTCAGCATTACCACTGCTTCGAAATTCAAAGACAGAGTTGGAATTTTGATGCCAACAGTAAAGAACATTCTAAAAAAACTGTACAATTGAAACTGCACAGCCTCAAACATTGTTGCAATTTTTGAGTGAGGAATTCCGATAAAGGAAGTAAACAATGATGATGAGCACTTAAAATAGTTGCCAACCTATTACAACTAGTTGTTAATCCTGGCATCGAGCATGACTTCGTGATGACAAATGCACAATTATAGTATTTTCAAAACGTTCATCTAGTTCGATAAAAAAAACGCATTGATCCGCGATTAGATCAAGGTCATTCGTGTCGATGTTTTTTGGATGGTTTGATCGTGCTCCCTAGCAAATTTCAGATAAAATTACGACGGCGACAGAAGAAACAGAAAAGAATGGATATCGGAAATGATTCAGATGCGACCATACACAGCCCAGTAGGTAAGCCTAATGAATCCAATTGTTTCTAAAATCTTTTTCTGTCATTGTGTCGTATTTTGAAACTTTACCCTATAAATAACACAGCGCATTGAAAGCAGTAGGAGTAACAGCATCGAATTGTGAAATTTTGGAGTATTATATGGTTCAAACGGATATTGATACGTAGGATTATTCACGTTACTGTTATAATGAAAGTTCACATTGATATGTACGACCAGAGCAGATGGTTGTTCATTTTGAGGAATGACTTTCATTTCAAAGGCAATTCTAACATTCTCAGCACCTCATTATGACGGTCGCGCGTCTATGAATAAGCAGCCACCATTGTTCCATCAGCTATCGTCTATCACAAAACTATAATTCGTCAGTGAAATTTATTATCGTGCAGTTGATCTCCTAATCGAATCGCATTAGCATTTCTAATCTTTGCATTGTTCGCGATTGTTTCGTTCTTATGTGAATTTCTAACACCATTGATTGCTCGCAGTGCTAGTCTCAGTGCGCTTTTTTTGCTTGCTTGCTTAATTCAGTGAAATATTATTGGTGCACATAAATCACAAATATTGGAACAATTATTTCACTCGAATATGACAAAGTTTACACAGTTTATTGATTTCACTGCATTGTTTTCTTGCACACAGGAAACTGATTCATCCCATATAACTTCGGTGAGAAGGTGATCATCTCACGCTGATCACTTTCTCAAATCTCAGATGGTATTTCCGTTACCGTAATAATTCATCAGCAATTGCGTTCGTAACTAATTGTGGCTGTTGAATTGCGTTATGCTAACGTTCATCTAATCACTGAAATTATTCGAGAACATTAAATTGAAATTCTGGTTGGAAGTCACTGCGCTAATTAGGTAATCACAACACAATGATTTTCGGTATTTTGGTGATTTCGGAGATTTCGCAGAATGCAAAATGCACCGATTAAATAATCACCGATAGAAAAGTGCCCTTATGCTTTCGTAACTTAGTATTCGCCTCGAATATCAC